AGGCTGGTCCAATACTTCGGATGCTAGTTTAGGGATTCAGGCCACGGCAATTCAAATCCCTGCTCCACCACAAATTTCCTCCCTGCATAACTTTTGATTAATGTTCCGTCTAATCTTTTCCATCCATGTGCAGATTTTTTTCCATCCATGTGTGGAATGCTTTTTGTGTTCACTGAGTCATGTGGAAACAAAAAAACCTAACTGAGTTTTCTGCTAATCAGCTAGATGGCATATGGAGAAATTGGAGAGGGTCCAGAGAAGAACAACAAGAATGATTAAAGGTCTAGAGAACATGACCTATGAAGGAAGGCTGAAAGAATTGGGTTTGTTTAGTTTAGAAAAGAGAAGATTTAGGGGGGACATGATAGCCATTTTCAGGTATCTAAAAGGGTATCATAAGGAGGAGGAAGAAAACTTGTTCATCTTGGCCTCTGAGGATAGAACAAGAAGAAATGGGCTTAAACTGCAGCAAGGGAGGTTTAGGTTGGATATTAGGAAAAAGTTCCTAACTGTCAGGGTGGTTAAACACTGGAATAAATTTCCCAGGGAGGTTGTGGAATCTCCATCTCTGGAGATATTTAAGAGTAGATTAGATAAATGTCTATCAGTGATGGTCTAGACAGTATTTGGTCCTGCCATGAGGGCAGGGGACTGGACTCGATGACCTCTCGAGGTCCCTTCCAGTTCTAATATTCTATGATTCAATGATTCTATGAGTGCCCTAGCACCTGGCGTTGGGGTCCCCCAATGTCTCTTGTTGACACGGTTCCATCATGGATACATATTTTTATGAATTTCACTAGAGCAGAGACAGAGGATTGTAGTTCTGCTGCATTCCATGGGCCGACGCCACCAAATAGTCTGGAGACTCATTCTCACACTTCCTCTTTGTGTCTCCCTCTGGTCTAATGATGCTTGGAGTCTTCATCACAGGAGATGTCAAAGGGCACCCCTCTGCAAACTCTCCTGATGCACGTAACACTCAGCAGAGCAGTCGTAGGTTACAGCTCCCATCCCGTTGAGCAACAGAGTGACATGTATCAAGGTCTCCCCAACCCCAGAGGAGTGTCTGCATCTCAGAGTGATAAATTATGAGGGAAGGCCTTCCCCATGGCTTCACTCAGCAGAGAAGGCCAACAGCTGCGACACCAGAGTTAGGTGTCTTCCTCTAGTCTGGGTTCAGGGGCTGACATCCCAAGAGGGGTATAGCTTAGTACATAAGCCTCTGGCATCTCCCATTGGTGGATAGGGCACCTGACATAGACTTTGAGCAGCTCAGCGATTTCCTGAAGTCTGTGACTCTAGTCCATAGTGTAGATAGGAATCAAGGGCATTACCTCAGAATTCCCCACTCATCTGCACCCTGTGTTTCATTTCACCATTTTCTTTGCTTCTCCTTACTGAATTCTCTTCTCTTGTCTTTCCCTTTGAAAACACAGCCAAGCAAGCCATGGACTTGTTTCTCCAACAGCTTCCTTTTTGTGTTGGAGACCACTTCTGGTTGGACGCTACTGCAGACCCCCAGGAGAATCACGTTGGTCTTGTTCAAAGCAAAATGGCTACACCAGGTGTAAGCCAGTGTCAAATCAGGCTCATTCGGGAGTGGATATGTTCCCTTCACATTGTCCACCCAGAAGAATGCAGGCACACAAAACATTGGTAACATCAGCGTGTAACATTTGCTGGCCAACAGCTGTTCTGCAAAACACCAATGAAGTTGGTGATTTGAACTAGTTGACAATCATCAATGATTTCAATAATGGCATAGAGAGGACTTTTTGAAGTTTGCAGAAGATATCAAGCTGGGAGGGGTTCCAACTGCTTTGGAGAATAGAGTCATAATTCAAAATGATAAGGACAAACTGGAGAAACCGTCTGTGGTAAATAAGATGAAGTTTAATGAGGGCAAATGCAAAATGCTCCGCTTAGGAAGGAACAATCAGTCTCGCACACACAGAATGGGAAGAGACTGTCTATGAAGGAGTCCTGCAGAAAGGGATCTAGGGGTCAGAGTGGACCACAAGCTATATATGACGGTTGTAAAAAAGCAAACATGGTTCTGCGCTGGAATAACAGGAGTGTTGTGAGCAAGAGACGAGAAGTCATTCTTCTGCTCTGCTCTGCGCTGGTTAGGCCTCGGTTGGAGTATTGTGTCCAGTTCTGGGCACCGCATTTCAAGAAAGTTGTGGAGAAATTGGAAAGTGTCCAGAGAGCAGCAACAAGAATGATGAAAGGTCTAGAGAATGAGATATGAGGGAAGACTGAAAGAATTGGGCTTGTTTAGTTTGGAAAGGAGAAGATTGAGGGGGGACATGAGAGTGGTTTCCAGGTATCTAAAAGGGTGTCACAAGGAGGAGGAGAAAAATTGTTCTGCTGGGCCTCTAAGGACAGCTTATACTGCAGCAAGGGCGGTTGAGATTGCACATTAGGAAAACTTCCTGTCTGTCTGGTATCTAAAAGGGTGTCACAAGGAGGAGGAGAAAAATTGTTCTGCTGGGCCTCTAAGGACAGCTTATACTGCAGCAAGGGCGGTTGAGATTGCACATTAGGAAAACTTCCTGTCTGTCTGGGTGGGGAAACACTGGAATAAATTGCCCAGGGAGGTTGTGAAATCTCCATCCCTGGAGATATGTAAGAACAGGTTGGACAGACACCTGTCAGGGATGGTCTAGATAGTGCTTGATCCTGTTGTGAGGGCAGGGGACTGGACTCGATGACCTCTCGAGGGCCCTTCCAGTTCTAGTGTTCTGGGATTCTATGTTCATGCTTATCTGGGAGCCATCAGTCTACATATGTTCTGCAGCACTGGATAGATGCTCCTAGGGGGTGTTTGGTGCTCACCAGGATAATTACCCCAGTGTAATTATCACAAACCTTCCCAGTGGAGACTGTACACACTAAGGCTATGTGTAGACTGCAGGCTTCTTTCGAAAGAGGCTCTTTCGAAAGATCGCGTCTAGACAGCAGGCGGATCTCTCGATAGAGGAAATCCGCTTTTTCGAAAGAGAGCACCCAGCGAGTCTGGATGCTCTCTTTCGAAGACGGCCTCTTTACATTGAAGAACGCCTTCCTTCGAAAGAGGAACTTTCGAAGGAAGGCGTTCTTCCTCGTGAAACGAGGTTTACCGCCATCGAAAGAAAAGCCGCGTTCTTTCGAAATAATTTCGAAAGAACGCGGCTTGAGTCTGGACGCAGGGGAAGTTTTTTCGGGAAAAGGCTACTTTTCCCGAAAAAAACCCTGAGTCTGGACACGGCCTAAGAGGGGACATGTTGTCTTTTGTCTGTAGCCATTGGATCACTGAGCAGACTGTAGCTAGTCCCAAAGAGGGTTGGGATCAAGGGAGGCAGGAGAAGACCAACTTCTCCTTCTCTGTGACTGGCCAGATGCCGAGAGAGGAGTGCAGTTTGCATGCCCATCGCTGCCTGAGAGACTTAATGCTGAAAAGCATAGGTGCAAAGTGAGTTTGGGGCCCCCACTGCATTTCAGCAGCTGCTGAAGGGGTGTCTCCTTTTTTACAATACCAGTGACACTTTATCCTGGCACTTAGGCATCCGAAGTATCAGGTGCCTAAATCCCTTTCTTAATACACCTTAAGGCTACTCATTTTTGAGGAATACAGGATCTGTCGAAAAATGGTTTATTTTTGACAGATCTACATCTAGACTGCCAGGGGGGTTTCGAAAAAAAGAGTGGTGGCCATGTTTATGCTAATGAAGCACAGGATATTTAAAACCCTGCTTCATTAGCAATTTCCATGTGCTTGATTTGCATCCCTCTGTTGACAGAGGGATGCAGTTTAGACATAGCCCCCAAGTCTAAGGGCTTCCCTTCTTGTGCAGTTTCACCCTTCTCCTGTCAGCAGAGATAATCAATTTCCGCAAGGGACAGGACTGGGTTCTGTGCTGTTAGCTAGCTCTAATTTACCCCTAAATGTCTTCTAATGGCCAAGCCAACAGTGGAAGTGTTGGTGGAGTTTCTAGATCAGCCTGACCTTTCCTGGTTCATCAAATTCTCTGGTTCGGCACCGGTCAGGTCCCAAGGGTACTGGACTAGAGATGACCAACCTGTATATGCTTATGGTATTAATGTCTCAAAAGACGTTAGACTAGAGAGATCAAATAAACAGATTTTTATCATAATGGCTCATGGAGGATCAACTATAAGGCTACGTCTACACTGGCAGCTTCTTGTGGAAGAACTCTTTTGCGGAAGAGTTCTTGTGCAAAAACTCTTACACAAGAAAGCATCTACATTGCCATGTGCTTTGGCGCAAGAGATGTGCTTTTGCACCAGAGCATCCATTACAGTGTAGACGCTCTCCTCCGCAAGAAAGCTCTGATGCCCATTTTAACCAGAGGGGCTTCTTACGCAAGAAATTCATGTTGCCTGTCTACACTGCCCTCTTCTGGAAGAGCTCTTGCGCAAGAGGGCTTATTCCTCATGGGGAGAGGAATAACTCTTCTGGAAGAAGCCCTGTTTTACAATGCTATACTGTAAATTTACTTCTGGAAGAGTGCTCATGCAGTGCAGACAGCCGGCAAGTTTTAGAGGGAGAACGGCTGTTCTTCCAGAGGAAGCTTCCAGTGTAGACATAGCCTAAATGTTCTGACTCACTGAGGTTGCATGCAAGATATTTATTTACACAATAAGCAGATTTTCAGACATATTTAAACACCACATGAGATCTTTTCAGAGGCATCAGGGCAGCTAACGGTCATTGAAGCCACTGAGTTTTCTGATATATGAAAATCACACTTGTTAGCTAATTCTGGCCCAAAGAACCTGGTCCATCTAGTGTGCTTCAACACAGCTCCAAAGATGTTAATACAGTCCAAAGGACACCTAGTATAAATCAAGGCAACTTGTTTGAAGCTGATGCAAATCATTGGTGTTCCATGAAATGAATGGACCTCAGTAGAAATTAATGTCTACAACTATTTACTCCTCCTATAGGACTTATCCAAGAAACAGCAAGCTATGTAAGAATCTTGGGAAGACTCCTATTTCATGGCAAATGGGAAGATTTTCCTGAAGGCCACTTTGACTTCCTTATTGCGCAAGCTGTAGATTAGAGGGTTCAGGATGGGAGTCACTAGGGTGTACATGATGGCCACCATCTTGTTCTTAGCCAGGAAGTCACTGGAGGTGGGTGAGATGTAGGTGTAGATGACGGTGGAGTAGAACAAGGTGACCACGAGCAGGTGAGAGGAGCAAGTGGAGAAGGCTTTCTGCTTCCCTTTGGAGCTCCGGATTTTCAGGATGGCGATGATGATGAAGCTGTAGGACACGGTGGTCAACAGGAAGTTCCCCATGGCTATGAAGATGTCCGCCAGGAACACCATGTCTTGGTTGAGGTAGGTGGAGCTGCAGGACAGCACCAGCAGAGATGGGATCTCGCAGACAGGCTGGATGAGGTTGGGCCCGCAGAAATCCAGACGCAGCATAAGCAAGGTGTGCATCAATGAATTGCCGATACTGACAGCCCAGACGCCAATGGCTAAAGTGATGCAAACTCTCTTGGTCATGAGGTTGACATAATGCAAGGGGTGGCAGATAGCTACATAGCGGTCGCTTGACATGACCGTCAGGAGCATCAGCTCCGTTGCCCCAGACATAGAGAAGGCAAAGAGTTGGGCCATGCGGCCCTCGAAGGAGATGGTTTTCTTCCCTCGCAGCAGGTTTTCCATCATCTTGGGCAGAACCGAGGAGCTGCACATGATGTCGACCGTGGCCAAGTTAGCGATGAAGAAGTACATAGAGGTGTGGAGAGGTGGGTGGAAGACCACAGCCACAATGATCAGGGAGTTGCCCAAGATGACAGCTGTGTAGAGGCATAGGATCAGGGCAAAGAACAGCCCCCGGTGGTGAGGATGTTCCAAGAGGCCCTGCATGACAAACTCGGTCACCCTGGTGTGGTTACCGGGTTCCATGGCTGGAGAGCTCCTTCTGCAGGAACAGAGAGGAAACCTGGTGTCAGGTATTTTCACCAGAAACTGCAGCAATGTGGCCATTGAGCCATCTAGACAGAGCAAAATTGACATAGAGGTAGAGAAAGGGACAGAGATAGAACTTGCAACTTCTACACATTTAATGATAGAATCACAGAATCCTGGATCTGGAAGGGACCTGGAGAGGTCCCTGAGTCTTGTCCCCTGACCTCACGGCAGGACCCAGCACCAGCTAGATCATCCCTGATAGATGTTTGTCCCACCCACTTTTAAATGTCTCCAGGGATGGAGATTCCACAACCTCCCTCGGCAATTTATTCTGGTGTTTAATAACCCTGACAGGCAGGAAGTTTTTCCTAATGTCCAACCTAAACCTCCCTTGCTGCAGTTTAAGCCCATTGCTTCTTGTCCTGTCCTCAGAGGCCAAGGAGAACAATTTTTCTCCCTCCTACTTGTAACATCCTTTTAGATACTTGAAAACCGCTATCATGTTCCCTCTCAGTCTTCTCCTTTCCAAACTAAACAAGACCAATTTTTTCATTCTTCTCTCATAGGTCATGTTTTCTAGACCTTTCATCATTTTTGCTGCTCTTCTCTGTATCTTCTCCAGTTTTACCACCTCTTTTTTGAAATGTGGTGCTCAGAACTGGTCACAATACTCCAGCTGAGGCCTGCAATGCAATACATGAACCAACTGAAGAGGATTAAAATATGTTAGCACAAAAATCTGTCTGAATTACTGAATCTCTGTTCTCCCAGCACAGAGAAGGGAGAATAACCTTCCAGATGTTCTCTGTCAAAGGTGCATGAAAGCTATATGTTTGGTTTACTGCCTAACAGAGGATTTTACCGTTTGACTGGAAAATCAATCCACACTCAATCTGATAAATGACCAAGATTCCAAATTGTAGACTCATCTCGCGAAATAGACCATTTGTAAAACAGGACACCGGCAGAGACTGTAACCTACGCAACATGGATGATAGAAAAATAACAATCATTTGTAGGAAGTAACATATTCATATATTTATAAAGAAGCAAGACGCACAATAAAAGAATTTGGACTCCCTGTAGGAAATCAGTTAAAGCTATGTTGCAGTCAACAGGGTTGAATTCAAAAGCTACGCTGTTATACAAGTTGTGTAAATGGGAGGGGAATCATGTCCTCCAAAAATTAATTTTGAAGATAAGTACATGGCACTATGTACATTTTGCTTCTTTGGAAATATCATCTACATGATCTGATAAATACGGCTTACTGCGTTACATTTAAGTCTCCCTTCACTGTCTTCTGACTTTCGTCTTCTTTCTTCTCTACCTCTCTGGATTTTCCTCCCACTCCAGGTGCAAGGAACCTGAAATCAGGGGAGTTACTGAACAGTAAATCTGATAAAAATGAGAAAAGATTCACGACGAATAAATGTAACTAGCGGTGAGGTTTTATCAGACTGATTTTCCGTATTTCATAATGTAACAACTTTTTAAGAAAATAAATTGCCACCCTTTGGGTCACATTTGAAATTGGACTGCAAACTTTGAGGGTACAGCGAGTAGGTTGTGAAATTGTTAGTCCTTACATCAGCATTACTGTACCTCATTTCCATTGCTTTTAGGTTCACACATAATAGCATGCAAGTGAACTCCAAAGTTGTATGTGAATCTCCATCAGAATTACACTGGGCAAATTGAGATCAAAATATGGTCCAAGATTCATCAACATACCTATGAAAATGTGTGTGCTTGCAAAGTACATTTAGCCAAATTACAAAACATGAAATGACAGACATTAAATTTGGCTCAATTTCAAAAGCATATAAAAGAATTAATCACTTGATTCTTATTACATTTTACTGCCTGTTGGTGCCACGTACAATTGCAAAGGTTGAAATGTCCACTAGAAGAAATCAGAAGGAATCATTTACAAGCATGTAGTGTGAAAAAGCAAGCCAGAAAGAAAGACACAAGCAAATTAATATTCTCACCTCTCACTCAATCCTGAAGTTGAAGATTCCAGAGTGACCTAGACAAATTGGAGGGTTGGACAAAAAGAAATCTGATGAGGTTCAACAAGGACAAGAGCAGAGTCCTGCCCTTGGCAGGGAAGAATCCCAAGCACTGTTACAGGCTGGGGACCGACTGGCTAAGCAGCAGTTCGGCAGAAAAGACCCTGGGGATTCCAGTGGATGAGAAGCTGGAGATGAGTCAACAGGGCGCCCTTGTAGCCAAGAAGTGATTATTCCCCTTTATTCGGAACTGGGGAGACTGAATCTGGACTATTGTGTCCAGTTCTGGGCCCCTCACTGTAGAAAGGATGTGGACACATTGGAGAGGGTCCTGCAAAATAAATCAGGGGCTGGAGCACACGACCTACGAGGAGAGGCTGAGGGATTTGGGCTTGCTTCATCTACAGAAGAGAAGAGCGAGGGGGGATTTCAGAGCAGCCTTCAACTCCCCAAAGGGGGGGTCCAAAGAGGGTGGAGAGAGGCTGTTCTCAGTGGGGGCAAGTGGCAGAACAAGGAGCAATGGGCTCAAGTTACAGTGGGAGAGGTCTAGGCTGGATATTAGGAAAAACTCTAGGAAGGTGGGGAAGTGCTGGGATGGGTTCTCTAGGGACGGGGTAGAATCTCCATCCCTAGAGGTTTTAAGCCCTGGCTTGTCAAATTCCTGTTTGGGATGATTGAGTTGGGGCTGGTCCTGCTTTGGGTCTCTTCCAGCGCTAGGATTCTATGATTCTACATGAACTATATGTCGATTTAAACACAGTCTCTGGCAGAGATACGAGTTCTTGAAGATGATCACACTTTATAGCTAGTAACCTTCTGCAGGGAGATCCTGTATCCCTTGTGATAGTGGAGGAAAGTTCACTTTCAAACAAGGCCTCAAAGGAGAAGAAGGCAACAGGTAAATTGGTACCAAAAAACCCACCAACCTTCTCCATCAGTGACCCTTACTCCATATTGAATCATCTGAACCAGCTCTCCCCACTGGAGTGTCTCCTCTGCCGTCAGCAATGCAATTTATTGGCCTCGTATCTGGGCACCTTGGTGTGAGTTTCCCTGTAGACACGGAACCAGGGTCCTAGAACTGTGTTGTGAGCACAATATATCCTAGAACTGGAAGGGACCTCGAGAGGTCATCGGGTCATCGAGTCCAGTCACCTGCACTCCCGGCAGGACCAAATACTGTCTAGATCATCCCTGACAGGTGTCTGTCCAAACTGCTCTTAAATAACTCCAGAGATGGGGATTCCACAACCTCCCTAGGCAATTTATTCCAGTGTTTGACCAGCCTGACAGGTAGGAAGTTTTTTTCCTAATTTCCCACCCAAACTTTCAGTGCTGTAATTTAAGACCATTGGATATATAACATGATGCAGTGGCTGGGCAAATTCTTACTGAAAATCGGGTGAAAATATTTAACAATGACAGTAGTTACACAGGGTATGTCTACACTACAAAGTTAATTCGAACTAACAGACGTTAGTTCGAATTAACTTTAATAGGCGCTACACATACAAACCGCTAGTTCGAACTTAATTCGAACTAGCGGAGCGCTTAATTCGAACTAGGTAAACCTCATTCTACCAGGACTAACGCCTAGTTCGAATTAAGGGCTGTGTAGCCACTTAATTCGAACTAGTGGGAGGCTAGCCCTCCCCAGCTTGCCCTGGTGGCCACTCTGGGCACCACCAGGGAAACTCTTCTGCCCCCCTCCTGGCCCCGGAGCCCTTAAAGTGGCACGGTCTGACTACGGTGCCCATACCAGGTGCAAGCCTGCTAGCCCCCAGCCAGCAGACCCTGCACCTGGCACGGCTCGAGCCAGCCACCCGATGCCCCCCAGCCCTCCCCCTCTTCCCGGGACCAGGC